CCGCAACTCAAGATAACAGAAGAGGGCTGAGCTTCAGAAAATACATTGTTGCCTAAATTCATCCTTGGAGTAAGCTGGCACAGCTCAAATACCAGAAATAAAAACCTTTTCCATTGTATTTGACTTGTCCTTTCATTCTTAATGGGCGCAAGTGAGGAAATTTGGCAGTAGTCTCCAGTGCTGAATTGTTGCAATTCACTTTTCAACTCTTTTTTGTTGTTGTTGGTGGTGGTTTTTTTTCATGAAAGCATACAGGAAAAACCCAATGAGAAGCATTCCTATTTATTACTCTCTTTGGCTGTGACTAAGCTGTGAAGTAGACGTGCCCCACAGGGTCCCAACTCACCCGTGCTCACACGGCTCACCCCACGCCTGAAGGCCCAGGCTCCTTCCAAGGGAAACCAGAGGAGGTTGATGCACATCCAGATACCGCCCCAGCCTGGAGCAGGACAAAGCCAAGGTGTTTATTTGAGCCAGAATCTGGGAAATGCTCCCATCTCCCACAGTTCAGATGCCATCAATGAGTAATGGTCTCCCACACAAACAGTTCCACTGACTGCAGAGAAATTTAAATTGTTAGGTGTTGTGTAGAGCGAGGCAGTGGCATTTAAGTATTCCAGCCTGGAATCAATCGGCTTATTGAAGCACCTCCCAAACTATGGGACAACACCTACTGTTCAGGCAGGAGCACACGCTGCGAAGTGGCTGCTGCTGCTTCTTCTATCATTGTAGTTCTCAGCAAAGATTAGCAGTGCATGGGATTCTCCAAGGAAGATAAGATAGACCATTTCTTCAGGAAACTTCAACCTGGTTTAGCAAATCCATGATAACAGAATGAGCTCTAATAATTATTTTCTGCCTTTGCCTTCAAAGACAGAAAGCAACAGTCAATATAACTGGAAGTGATTTATGTAAAAAAATATCTGTGGTGCCATGTGCCTTTGGCAGGTTAATTATCAGGTCTTCTATGCATCAGATAAACTCCAATGAACTGTTTATCAAAATAAAGCAAAGGACATGATCCCATGACCATGAGACTCAATTGTTTGCAGATAGTTCTGTGTTCAGTGAAGCCAATGAGACTCTCCACATAAGTAAAATTGGGCAGATTTAGAGGTCCTGGCACTGAGTTGTGCAATAGGAACCAGAAAATGATGCTGGGCAATTCAGGGTAAGAGCCATACTTGGGTGTAAGCAAATAAAACAAGCACAGAAAACCCTCTGAGGCAGAGAGAACGGCTCTGGAAATGATGCTCTAAAGATGGTTCTGAGTTTCTTGTTCATGTAGGGGAAAGCGTCACACTGGAGGCTCTTTATGGAAGTCTGAGGAAAGTGTAAACCAGCTTCTTGTGATTTTTTCTCTTGTTTTGGGATTCATGTGTATTTGGACATCCTTTTACCATGCATGGTGTCCTCTGGAGGTTCACAGATTGCTCACAGTATTCAGCAGTATAGTAAATACAGCCCCTGTATTGTCCCAGAGGCACTCTGGTGCCACCTTCACAAGTAGACTGTAGCCTAGGGTCTGACTCAGCATTCCCGCACTCCAGACTTCTCCTGCAGAAGAGCATTTGCTGAGTAGCTGTATGGGGCCAGGACAAAAGTCTGGATAGCACAGTATCCTTCTTCTGAAAGTGGCCAGAAGCAGATGGGTTTGGGGAAGCAGAACAGGTCATGTATGTATGATAATTCTCCCAAGTACTCCTCCAGCAATCAGCGTCTCAGGATCCTGATAGTTTCAATCTATTTAGAGATTTGTGCCAAAGTTCTGTGCTCCAGATTGAACTTGAACCTGCAGAACCTGACTTTGCTCAGTGACCGTCCCATTAGTTCCTTAATCTTTGGAACATCATTGTTCAATAACTGTTTTTATTTTAAAAACCTAAAACTACCTAATCTTCCCATGGAAGAAAAAAAAAACAAAAAACAAAACCAAAACCACGTGACTTGAACGTTTGGTATCTAAGGGGAAGAAGTGTTAAGTAATATTCTTATTGAACAGAATCCAGCATGACTTTTCCAATCACAAATATTATCATAAATAAAAATGTGTGATAAAAAAGTTTGAGCCTGTGCTGCATGTAGGCCACGAGAATGGTTGAGAAGAGAATTGAGCTTACAGGTACTGACACATACCTTCCAAAAACATTGTAGCATGTGCCAACAGCATGGCAGCATGCTGTCATGGGGCCAAAAAAAGGGCAAGTCATTGTGTGGTCTATGTCCTGATGAGTCCTCATCAGTCCATCCGTCATCCTCAGACAGCTGGTTGAGCAAGATTAGTTTGGCGCATTACACTGTGTCACTGGTGTTGCAAGAGTTACATTCATCTGTTATTCTGGTGAGACTAGAAATAGCAAGCTGTTAGTAAATTGATTCCTAGCAAGAAGCCTTGTCCAGATGCGTTACGTGGCACCCATCCATCTGCCATGAGTGTTAATGGTAGGCCCTATTGTCATCAACCATGGGAAGAGACTTGAGGGCATCTGTAGGGCTGCAGGCAGTCTCCCTCAGTGACTAACAGTAAGACCCTACCATGCTGCTCATTTTGTGATCGCTTTGCCTTGACACGGGAGGAATGCACACCCATATCAAAATGGTTACAAGGAAAGTTGCCCGCGTGTGCCCATCCTGACTAAGAGGAAGCGTTATGTTTGCTAGCCCTGACAGCATGTTGGGCTCACCTCCCCTTGTCTGGATATTCAGCCTCCAGGAGCCTAGCACCACATTCATTGTACATCTCTACGACCATGGGAAGAGGCAGAAGAGGCTGTAACTGAGAAGGTCTGTCTTGCATATGCAGAAAGACCTGCTCCCCTCTGCCAGCCACCAGGTGGTCTTAGCTGTTTCAGAGGTGCTCAGTGAGGGAATCACCGGGGACACCCAGTACAACGTGTGTGCACTTCACTGCACTGCATCCCTGTGGGACTTGGCAAAGCTATGTGCTCTTCACCAAGAAAACATGAGGTCTTGTTGGCTCCCACCTTTTGGTGGGAATAACCTGCATGCAAGAAACGAAATAGCCATGGGACTTTTTCAAGTTTTGCCTCCCAATAGGCTCTGCAATTTTTCACTGTTTTCAATCCCCAAAAGGCCGGATTAATTGCATTTAGATACCGTTATCCCACTTTTAAATTAAAACAAAGAAATGACAAACAAGGAGGTGTGTGGCTGCTCAAAGCAGCATGGGAAGCCTATGTGAGAAGAGAGATCCAAATCCTCACCTTGGCTCAGGATAGCACTGTCACAAATAGCTGGCAACG